GATCAAAGGCACACCTTAACCTTTTGAAGCTTCCAACCTATGTTACACTTAGCAAATAATTATTGAGAATATCTAGGCATTTCTGCAGGAGTAATGACTGACTTTGAGGAAATAATGGCATGAAGTCAATCAAAAGTCGTTAATTCTGGCCAGTCATTATTCTAAGTGGAATGCTGGAAGCCAAGGTCTTGGTTGCTATTATGAGGCAAAGATGGGGGGAGGGATAAGTCACAAATGTATAGATTGTCTTGTAGTTAAGGGAGTTATATTTATGCAACTTTTAAACATTGTATAGGAGCCTCCAATAGATGATTATGCTATATTATATTAACTATATCTTAGAAATAGGAATTTTAAGCACAAAATGAATTAGTTTCTTAACTGGTTAGTGATTTTCATGCTAAAAATCCAGAACCATTATTTTTAACCATTTATTTGGCCTCTAAAAGAGAGTTCAGGAGATTAAATTTGTAAGATTAATTTTTGGTGCCATCTCCCATTTGTATCTTGTTCTATGAATCATCTTTAATTAGAAATGTATAATCAATGTTAACAAAATTTAATAACTTTGAGGCAATACACGTGGGAACAATAAAATGTTATTTGTTATTGTTCAGTCATTTGAGTTGTACTCAACTCTTTGTAATCCCATTTGGAGATTTACTGGCAAAGATAATGAAGTGGTTTGCCATTTTCTTCCTCTCCAGCTCATTTTTATAGATGAGGAAATGAGGCAAAAGGAGTTAAGTGACTTGCTCAGGATCACATAGCTAGGAAGTGTCTGAGGCCAGATTTGAACTTAAGAAAATGAGTCTTCCTAACTGCATGCCTGGCACTCTATCCACTGCATCACCTAGTTGCCCTAAAGAGGTGTTAAAGAACTAAAACTGAATGATGGAAAGGGATAATGATTTAAGAAAAAAGACCTGGGTTCCTATCCTAGCTCTGCCCCTGTGAGCAGTTTACTTCCACTCATTTGACCTGTTCCTTTATAAAATGAGAGCTTTAAGCTATATGACCTTTAAAGATACTATCCTAAAGGTATACCTAAAAGTTAAGGAGTCTGTAGGTGAAAAATGGCAATTAGAACAATACCAGCCTGACTATTTAACAGGATGATGGCAAGGAAAGCTATTTGTAAACTTAAGGTGCTACATACATGCTACCACTGCATGACGATTTTGATTTTACTTTTTCCTATTGCATTCCTATTAAGTCTACTTTTCAGGTTCAAGATTTTGGAGAGAAATAAATTATTTACATGACTCTCTTTTAAAGCCAACATTATTTGTGCATTGGGCCATCTCGAGTGGAACTGATGAATATCTGTCCACTGGACCCAGATGGCTCTGGAGGAGAAAATGAGGCTGGTGACCTTGCATCACCATCCCTCCCTCAAGTCAAATTCAATTGCAAGTCACATCATCATCTCCCTGATGTCACAGTCCTCTTCAAGAACAAAGGACAAACACAACAACAACAACAACAGCAATTATCTGTGCAATTAAGTGTCAGGTTTCATTTTGTTGTATGCTCCAAAATTTTTTTTCTGATATTTGACTTAGGTAAAAATTTTAGGCATATTAGATAACCAATATTGTTAATTTTTTGAAAATATTTAATTTAGTCCAAAAGGAACTATTCCAGAGAGTCCAATTTCCTTTAAGTGTTACAAACTCAAATACCGTATAATGAAATTCATTCACAGAATCTGGAATGATCAAAGAATCTAATGAACCAAAAGAAGTCCTATGACAAAACAAAAACAACACACCCTCCAGGGAAACAGTGGTGATTTTTAGAACATACACAAGCAGTGCTAAGTGATTGATTTATTAAATTAATGTTCAACATAATTCAGAGTTATCCAAGACTTTTTTTGTGAATTTTTGAAAATGCGAGAAATATAACTCCCATCTAACAGGAGAAGGAACCTGAATATACAAATGGTAAAATTTATTTTGATTAATCATTTTCTTTTGAAAGATTATGTGAAATAAAGTTTAGAATATCAGTGTTCTGGAAATTAGACATCTTCAGAACAAATTAAAACAATTTTTGTTTACTAAGAAAGTTGTACTATGGATAGTAATGAGGATAGTTTATATTATTGCCATATTTTGCATATTTTCCATTAATCACTCTTACAGGGAGAAAGCACTAGAAATATTGGAAAGACAATTTATGCAGAAATAAATTAAAGGAAAGGTTTTTATTAATGCTTTGCGCAGCTCATTCTTTCCCTGCCAGGCGAAAACAGAAAATTCCCCCTTCCTGGTAACTAATAGTCACATAGGAGAAGGTAGGACTTTTATCTACCAATTAACAGTGTATATCTAGTAATAATAATAGCAACAATAGCAACAATATTATATTTATATAGCACATGGTGGCTATAAAAATTATTTTATCATAGATAATTTTCATAAATTATTCTATTTTAACAACAGCCTTGTCACTGAAGTAGTGAAAGTATTAAGGAAAGATTATACATGAAAGCAGAAAAAGCTCTAGATTTAAGTTTGAGAATCCTATTCCTCTCCTCCCCTACCTTTCCCCAGGTGGACACTATGTACTTTGTTGTTGTAGGCTGTGGGCTTAAGTGACTTTGCCCAGGGATACACAACTAGTAAATTTCTAAGGCTGGATTTGAACTCAGGTCTTTGTGACAACAGGACCTGTGCTCTAGCCACTGTTCCACCTAGCTGCCCCAACACTATGTACTTTTTGCAGTAAAGAATCTGCACCAATTTAGGTTACAGTAGAGTGACACTCCATCCTTCCAATGTCAATCAAATGTCCTGAAAATTGTTGTGTTTCTTTCTCACAAAGTTTAGATTTATGCTATAGTGATCATGTTCTGGAAAAGTTTATGATGTGGCAATATGATACTCTGGAAAGAACACAGAACTAAGAGTCAGGAGCCCTGGGCTTTAATCTTGACTCTGCAGCTAAACTTTTAAGTAATTCTGGGCAGGTTGATTAACTTTAACTTTTCTGGGCTTCATTTTCTTATCCATCTTTAAAATGATGGCATCTAATGAGAAGGACAGTTAAGTGCTACAGGAGATAGAGTACTGGACCTGGACTTTGGAAGAGATAAATTCAAATCCTGCCTCAGGCACTTATTAGTTGTGCAACCTTAGAAAAGTCACTTAACCTTTCTTTTTTTCACTTAACCTTTCTCGGCTTCAGTTTCCTTACATGTAGAATGAAAATAGTAGTAGCATCTATTTCACACAGTTGTTGTGAGGATAACATGTGTAAAGTGCTCCACAATCCTTAAAGTACTACATAAATTCTAGCTATTCTTATAATATGAGCAGTAAAAATAGTCTAGCATAAGTGATTTGCACATTAATGACCCCATTAGCCAATTGCCACTTCTTAGTAATGAGCTCCCTAGTCTCTCTAGAAATGGGGGTAGGTGGGGCGAAGAGCTCAATGTATGTCAATTTCACTCAAGTTCAAAATATCATTTTGCATTGTTGGCTATGGTTTATCTGCTGTGTGCCTATTGTGTCTTGGCAGATGATCCATTACTCTTCAAGTGTTATTAAGAGCCAAGTAACTGTAGCATATCGTACTTAGGTAAAGGTGTAGGAGATAACATAGTTTTGTTTTGTTTTTAAGGTTGAGTTTTAACCTATTCTGCTTTCCACACCTGATAATTTTTTTTAAGTGGTGCTAGGGTATGACTTGAGAGGCAGTGTGGATGTTGTGGAAACAACACTAACCCTGGTGTCAGAAAACTTGAGTTTGATGCCTTGGTTCTAACATTTACTAGACGTGTGACTGAGGTTGTCCCTTAGCATCTAAGAGCCTTAGTTTCCTCACCAATACATGGGGACATTCTTATTCTACATCTACATGTATCTCTATATCACAGCTTGTCACTCTGTCTCTCTTACTTGTAATTTCATTAATATAAAGCATTCCTTCCAGTGAGGAAACTATACTAATCAACAAATTTTACATAACTTAGAGTGTTAGGTTAGGATCTCAGAAGTAAAATGCCTTGGAATCACAGATCTAGAGCTAGCACGGATCTCAGAGGCCATCTACCTAAATCTTCATTTTAAGGAGGAGGAAACTGAGTCACAGAAAGTTTTAGTAACCTGCCCAAGGTCACCCAACCTTGTGTATAAGTTGCAGTAAGTCTAGTAAATAAACCAAAATTTGAACCCCTGTCTTCCTCATTTCAAATCCAGAAATATTCAACATTTCATGCTTTCTTTCTTTGAATGCCATGCCTAGAGATCATGAAAAGACCCAGGATCACATAGTCAAGATGTGTCAGAGGCAAGACTTGAACACAGGTCTTCTTGACTCTTATGCCTGCTATCTATCTGTTATTTTATTCTACTTTGCTGAGAGGAGACAGGGTGGGGAAGAGGGAAAAAAAAGATAGGAAGGGGGAAGGATAATCATACTTGACCTAATTACCTCATAAGAGTGTTCTGAGGGAAGCACTTTATGAACTAGAGATATAAAAATGAGCTGTTATGATAAAGCACTTTTTAAAAAATTGAGGACTGTTCCCTTTGTTTTCTTAGTATATATTTAGCATTGCTTTTAAAATCATGAAATACTTTTTAAAGATTAAGGACAATGATTTGTTTGTGTTTTTTTAATTATTTAAACATTACACTGCTTTTCTTAGATTAATAATCAAATCAATCTTTCATCTTTTTCTTAGACTGTGACAGTAGACAATGAATTCTGACAATTTTCTCTCAGTTCAGTTCCTTAATAACATGTAATTTCTTTATATGACAAAACATCATTTTAGCATTCCTTCTATGCCTTAGTATTCATTTTTCTTTTTTTCCTTGTGTTAAGGAGTCTTAGTAAAGAGTGGCTCCATAAAGTTGTCTTTTACCAGTATTGTGCTTTAGCACCTGGAGCAGGTAACAAGCTCCAGTGTTAATATCTGTTTCAATAAGGATATTAAGATGTGTATAATAAAACCACTAAATTCCTCTTTGTGTGTCTTACAGACAATCCTAGCCTGCTGAGCCATGTTGCAGTTGGCATTCGAGTTCTAGATGTCAATGATAACCCACCAGAGCTTGCCAAGGAGTATGATATTGTAGTTTGTGAAAATTCTAAGCCTGGCCAAGTAAGTCATTAGTTTTATACTTGTTACATTTCTCTTTTACTGAGGAAGGCAAAATGGGCAGCTTTATTTTTGTAAATGCTATTTTTACATGTCAAAGATTCTATAAATGGGGCTTGTGTTCTAGGTAGAGGTTGAGGTCCTTCCAACTCTAAGATTATGAGATATAACAATAAAAATGACTTAATACATGAAGAGATTTAAAACTTTACTCTTTCTATGCACTCATTAGACTATTATTCCTTAGAATCAAAAATGATATGAACTTATCAATTCAATGAAATATTAATTTAATACTTACTACAAGCATAACAGCATCTGATATCATGGGGAGATAGGAAGGTAATAAATTTGGATTAACAGAAGAAGAACATTGAATTGTAAGTTTCAAAATGCGAATTTGTAAGCCTTACCCAGATACTATGATTTAACCAATCGCCTGGACCTTGGGGGTCTTCTGTAGAGTAAGAAGGAAAGCAAAGATCTAGTAAGACAGATGATAAAAGTTAAACAGCTAATAATACAGGAAATTTGACCCCAGTACCAACTGGAACCTAGATATTACTATTTCTTTGGAACTTACTTCAAATTGCACTTTGTCTCAATGTTGGTATGTGAATGCTTGTAATCAATGTTTAATTAGTGCTCATATTTTAATTTTAATAGGCACATTTTTCTACTTAATAATGACATGTCCCTCAAGCAAATTCATAATACTCATTTAACAAGTCATAGATTAGCCATGATTTGCATTAATGCAAGGAGTTCTGACAGTAGGAATATCCCCACCCTGGAAAATTTGCAGATCTTTCATGCATTCATAAGTCAAAAAAAAAAAGGATAGTAATCTTTATAATCTGTTTTGGGTTTTTCCTAATAAATGTTTATCGATTGATATGTTGATTGATTATTCAGAATATTGTATTTCATATTTTTTTGTTGGATTCCTTATAGGGAAACTAGAATAATTAATTATTCCACTGACACTCTGTTGCCTTTTTATTTGTATTATTAACCCATTCGTAGACCTTATGACATAATCAGAAACTGGTAAGAGCTGTTTCACTCTAAGTGAGATAGGATTCCAGTTTGGTGATTTTGGAAATAAACTTTACTAATCACAGGTTTTAAAGGTATGATATTTCCATTGTTTACACTCAAAATTGCAGGCCTGATTCTCGAAGATTTTTCTTTATACCTCCTACTTTTGAGTCAGCACAATGAGAGTACAGTGTTTTAGCCAGAGTAAAAGTGAGAAAGAGGCCTTAGAAGTCAATTTTCAGGAGCTCATTTGTGTTGCAGAGCTATGTGTAGTTCAATGAAGAATCGATTGCTTTCAGAGTCCCCAGTGCCTTCCTTTTATGAATATCTTGTATCTAAATGTAAATATATATGGCTTTGGCAAGAAGATGGAGCTTTTTGGAAGCAAGTATTTTTAAACTGCAGATAGTAGAGCTCAGGCTAATTTAGGTATCCATATGAAGAGCCACAAAACATTCCTCACAGTTTATGTATTTTTTCATTCAGAAAACAAGTTTAAACTGCATTGAAGTAAAAGAAATATTAATAAGAAACTCATTCACATATGAAATGTGAAGTAATTTTCCAAGGCAGAACCTTGTTCAAAAGCCCTAAGACCTACCTTTGCTGGAAACTTAGTAAAAAGGACATGGTATTTTCTATCCTCATGTGTTCTTTCATCCTCTTCCTTCCCTCAGAACCAAATTTACAGCAAATTAAAAAAAAATGAGATGGATGGAAAGGAGGCAGTAGTTTCTGTTCCTCCCCCATAACCTCATCCCATTGTCACTCCCAAAAGTCAGGAGTTTGAGGATACTCATTAAATCTGATTGCTAGGGAGTATAGCAAATTTAGCCTGAGTCTATGACACCTATCAAACTTAGGTTAATGACTAGAAACAGGGAGCAGATACTATTAGCAAAGTCACTAATTGGAGGTCCTATTTGTAAGGTGAAAGATAATTTATTAGCTGAGATAAGAACCTGTGCCTTCAGAAGGGGGAAAAAAAAGGATTGTACTGGAAAAATGTTGACTAAGAGACAGCCTTTGCTAGAAAATGGAAGGGTTTTGCAGTTCATAAGACTTCCAAAATTCAGTGACAGTCATAATAAACTTAGGAGAACAGTTTGAAATACTGAATCATCTCAATTGTCAAGAGGTATAAAGATGATCCTAGTCAATGAATTAAATTGATCACTTAGATATTAGTCCAAGTTCTCAGAGAAAACATTTATTTGGCACAAACTTCTTTGACTGACTTTCCCCACCAATAATAAAGGGAGCTCCCAGTAAGTAAAGTCTGCTTATCAATGAAGATAGGAAGCAATAGCTTCCTAAAGAATAATGTTATTGTGTAGTCTTAGAGTTTGCCTGGGAGCAAACCTGAGAGGGTAAGTGACTTGCCCAGGGTCACATAGCCTGAATATGTCAGAGCAAGGACTTGGACCCTTCGTTTGACTCAGAAGCCAGCTTTCTATTCATTAGGTCACACAGCCTCTTTTTGATTGACTTCCAGGACCAATTTACTTGTGCCTTTATGCATTTTAATGGGGTACAGATCAGTCCAATTAGTTAGTCAAACTAAGTTTGAGATTATATTGATCTGGCTGTTCTTTCATTCACATATACACAGATTGAATTCTCTGGTAATAATAACAGCTGATATTTGTGCAGTACTTTGCATATATTATGCAATTTGCAATAGGTTCCAAAGTTGGTTTTTGTTTTTGTTATGTTTTTTTTTGTGTGGGGGGGGAGCAGTGGAAGGACAAGGTAGGATTTGGACCTGTGATTTTGTTGCCATAGGAAATTCCCTGCAAGTAAATTCCCTCTACTGATGCAGATTGACAAGGGTTCTAAACCTTGTAGTTTTAGAGAGTTGCTTGGGGCACTGAGAGGTTATATAATTGCCTGTGCACCAATAATAGTCAGTTAATAAGGTATAATTATCCCCATTTTAAAGATGCAGAATCTCAGACACAGAGATTAAGTGGTTTTACAGTTAATAAGCTCATGATAACAGCTAATAAATATTAGAGTTAGGATCTGAAGCCAGGACTACTTAAGCACGTTAAACCATGCCAGAATAAATTTGGCTTAGGATTTTGTCCTTCCACATATCTTGTTCATACTTTATTCACGATATATCTTTACCACAAGAGTATATGACTCATTAAGGCCCAGAAATAGACTAAATTCTTAGCCTGGCATTTGAGGTCCTTCACAATCTGGTCTCCACATACTTACCAATGATTCTTGACTACATTACTCCAAGGAAAGCATTTGTTCCAAGCAAATATTTTTCTTTTTAACTTACTGTCACCATAAAATATTATGTGTAATCTCACCTTTGTTCCTTTATTCAGGCCAGCACTGCCTAGAATGCCCTCCCCATCCTTTGCATCTTTCCAAATTCTAATCATCCCTCAATGGCTAATTCAAGTCCCATCTCCACCATGAAAATTGATGGGTTAAATATGCTATGATAAAACAACAAGGAGCCTGATATCTCAAGCACAGGAATATTTTAGACATCAAATATGCCTCTAGAGCTAACTTATACGAGATGAAAATTGGATCCTCATAAAGCAAACAATTGCCAAGCATGCAATAAATGTTTTTGCTTCTTTCTTTATGTGAACTGGTGACAGAAACCTAAAGACAAGCTAAAGAAACAAAAGGGCTCACTGCAGCTGAATTTAACTGAAAGTTAAGATTATAGCTCTTTTCAAAAGAGTTAGGAAAAATTAAAGGTCTATTTGAAATCTTCATAGATGTTTCCTACCACAAGAGGCCTAGCAATTTTCCTGAGAAGATTTATTTACTTGACTTCTCTTTTTATCATTTTATTCATTTAACAAATCCATTCATTTAACAAAAATTTTTGTCACCTATTCTGTGCGCTAGCAGAACAATCATATATAATATCAGATTAAGATATTGGATAGATTGTAACATAAATGGCACTTTACAAACAGGTATGAATATAAAATACTTTAATTTTTGAATTTTATGAGAATTCTCACGTGTATTTTAGGGCATGAGCAAGTGGTTCAGGAGTCACATTTTTTTTTCACTTTACTGTATTGTAAATTAGGATCATAGAATTAAGACCTGGAAAAGAATTTTGTTACCATCTAATCTAACTAGCTCATTTTACAAATAAGGAGACAATGCATAAAACTTTGTTTATATATATGTGTCTTCTCCCTCTAGATCATAATCCCTTTGAGTATAGGAAATCTATTTCGCATTTCTGAATATCTCTCTCACTACCTGCCACAGTACCTTGTACTCAATAATATCATTTAATTAATTACTCTGTCTAGTATATGTAGTCTTAAAAACATTAACCAACACATTAGCCTCCCATCAAGGCAGATCCAAACTTCGGAAAGAGGGGTTCATGACCTTTGTTAAAATTGCCTGAAAACAAAGCCTGAGTATATTGTACAAACCTAAACAAGTGATTTTCCATTCTTGAACCTTAGTTTTCTCATCTATAAAATAAGAGGATTGGACTGGATATTACATAAAGTGTTTTCCATATCTAAATTCTTAGCATTTTCTGGAATCGTCACTGAGTATATTGGATTAAATGGAGGAACAATGTAACTTGATTTGTTATCCAGTCTGGGGATGAAATGGAGAAGAATGACTGATGGGTTAGGGGTAGGGGAAAACATGAAACCCAAGTTGGAATGGACCTCAGAGGCCATCAAGACCAACTGTCTTTTGTATGTGAACTTCTGTGAAGGGAAAACGTTTTTTTTATTTCCAGAGCAGTCCATTCCAGTTAGTAAGATTTTCCTTTCATCAAGGCTAAATCTGTTAATTTGCAACTTCCACACACTGATCCCAATTCCACCCTCAGGAGCCATGCAGAAAATCTCTAATCCTTCTTCTATGGCATAGTTCAAGTACTTGAAGGTAGCCATCATGACTCCTGTCTTTATATCTCATTTTCAAACTGAGCTCCTGTA